CCATAATGAATCTTGTCCGTTCCATACTTGTTCACAATGTACTTAATTGTATCTTTGATGAGACTGAAAGTCTTGTCTGCATCAAGTCCAGTGGCGCTGAGGGCAAAGGCAAGATCAATCTCTGGTACTGGAGGTTCACCTAATAACAGTGAAAATCTAAATCAAATACATATCGTTTCCGGTTACAAGATTTGCATAGCGACTGCATACTGTACAAGGACTTCACCTGAAATGATTGGCGAAGAAATTAGCTATTCCTTTTCTGGCCAGCAAGTGATACATTGTTACCAGTGGTCTGTTTGTTTTTCGTTTGTCTGTTTGTTTGTTTGTTTGCTTGTTGGCTTGTTTGTTTGTTTGTTTGTTTGTTTCTCTATTGGTTTGTTTGCTCATTTGTTTGTTTGTTTGCTTGCTGGTTTGTTTTTTGTTTGTCTATTTGTTTGTTTGTTTGTTTGCTCATTTGTCTGTTTGTTTGCTTGTTTGTTTATTTTTTGTTTGTCTATTTGTTTGTTTGTTTGTTTGTTTTTCTAAAAATAACAGTTACCTCGAATCTTGTCCATGATCTTCTCACCAACCATCTTTGGATCTTCGTCTTTGTCAGTCTCGATAACATTTGTCTTGTCAGGCGTCGTATTTTCAAGTTCAACAGGGTCAGCTTCCTCTCCAACGGCCACAGCAATGACTTCAATATCCCTCTCCTCAAGAGTTCGGACAGCCTTCTTGATTTCATCTTCGGTAGACCCTGATCTACTATCCGCCATTATCACGAGAACTTTGTGAGTCAAGGGTCTTCTGTCGTCATCTTCAAACATTTTGAGTGCCTTCTCCAGTGCGCCAGCTAAGTTTGGTGTTCCTGTTCCAACGCGGAGCTTTTCTACCGCTGTCTTGAGCTGCTGTGGCGACGGTGGAGTTTGCCCAAAGTTGATTTCTATTGTGGCAGTGTCCCCATACACCAGGACACTGTAGTGTATCTTCTGTGTGCCATACGCGTCGATGATGTAGGTGATGATGTCTTTCATTAACTTGAAGGTTTCGTTGTGGAGTACGCTCGATGCACTTAACGCAAATCCAAGATCCACCTCGGAGATGGGCGGTAGAACTAGACAGGAAATAACTAACATCAAATATGTTTTGGCATGGGAAGTATGATCACACACTTAACAGTTCGGCGCCTTCATTCCTTCTTGGCTAAACGTCTATAAATCTCTCCAACTACACTGTCCTGAGTGACCAAAGGACTGTTCTTTGCGCAGGTGACTTTGGGTGCAATTTTTTTCGAGATTTCCCGTAAGATTTTTGTCGCACTTACGACAAAAAATTGAAACCAGCTGCAATTTGAGTGGAAATTGAGCGCGCTATAGCGATAGAATGAATGTACACTGTACAATTTATATACATGACGATGTCTTGTCAACAAGGGTAATCAAAGTTCTGTCGTAAGTTCGAAATCTCTGGCGATATAGCGCTGAAACAAAAAAAAAAAAACGAAAAGCCTTGCACCTGGATTACACACGCGATTTGGTGTTGCAATCCTAACGCGACAGAATTCGCGGTTGGAATCGAGACAAAAATTTCCCATGAAAAATCGTCCCTGTAAATGGGGCTGCAACATAGCCTGCCGATCTAGAATTGGGCTGTACAGCCACGGCAGGCGCTGCAACTCAACCACTAACTGAATCATGGCGCAGACTTTCATTGTCTCCCGAGACAGACGGACGCCAACAAATGGGGCTTGACATATTACGCCCCACCTCAGGTCAGATTTAAGTCACTTATTTCGCTTATGAGAACTCGGGTGACTATTTTCAGCACTTGACCGAGCATCTGGTTCGTGTTTTTGAGCAGAAGTTGTCCAATGCTTGGCAAAACTATTTATTTACGATATATCTATGATACCTGTATTTATTTTCTCCATGATCATCTTAGCTAGCTCGTTAGCCGAGGTGCCAGCAGACGGTTCTATGATGTTCGTCTTGTCTGGAGTGAGATTTTCCAGTTCTTTCACATCCGCCTCGACACCTATTGCTACTGGAATCACTGCTATCCCAGCTTTCTCCAGGAGCTTGGCAGCTGTTTTTACATCAGATGCATTTGAACCAGATTTTTTGTCAGTGATTATAACCAGGACCTAGCAGAAAGAAAATACACTGTATACCAGCCCTAATTCCGTCTGTTCCTATCCGTGGTAAACAAAAAATAGCAAGGTGGCTAATATCAATACCAGCAGGCTGCTAATCCATCGAAGGCTAACCTAACAAAGATTTCTGTCAGGTTGCAGCAAAATTTCGCATTTATACACCTGTCAGGTAAGAGAGCCTTCAGTCTGAACGGAAGCCTGGAAGTGGAGAATTAACTCTAAAGTAATTTGAGCGCTAGAAATCACCCAAGTATTTCCTTCCAAGCATTAGCTTTAGTCAAGAAATAGGGGACCACACAAGGTCATAACGCCTTGTTACCGACGTGGGATTCGAACCCACGATCTACATATTACATCATCGTTGCTCTACCGACCAAGCTTCTGGGCCAGACGCGAGCAGATTGTGTGTTCATGTACATGTAATAGACCTTTCCCGCATTCCACTTCAGTGCGTACGAACAATAGCACCAGAGCGAGGTTGGGGTGGACGTTTTTATACATTTGCTATATTCTTGTCTACCCTGATCTCGACTCGGCGCCATTGATTGTTGGAATTCGGGAAAGGTCTGTTTCGGTGGAAATTCGTGGTCGGGTAGATGTTAAGGGTACAATTGCGAATGCTATGTTGCGTTACGTAATACTGATATAAGACGCCCGTACGGCTTGATCTCGAGTCCATATGCTGACCATTAAGTCCACCACATTCCAAATACATGCACAGTAGGTACTATACCATTTGATTACCTTACGAGCTTGTGGCCTAGCTCCTTCAAAGAGTTTCCTGGCTTCCTCAAGGCCTTTATCCAGCGCTACCACCCCTTTTTCCCTGGCGATGTCATCCACAGTCTTTTTCATGTCTTCAAAATCAGACGGCTGGTTTTGGAAATCAACCCACTTTCTTTGACTCTGGCCATACGTTATGATAGCGTAGTTGATTTTTGACACGCCGTACATATCAGCAAAGGCTGTGATGGTGTCTTTCATCAGTTTAAAGTTTGTACTGGCATCTGTGGCTGTAGCACTTAAAGCGAAGGCCAGATCCACCATAGGCACGTCTGGGATTTCTTTGAAGGGATTAACAGACAAGCATTCAATCATTCAACTCTCGAGAATGCAAAAATTCTACACAGAAAAAACAAATCAAACCATCCTCATTTTCTGATGTAATAAAAAACAGACAGCACCTCAAGAAAAGACGGTTTAATGCATGGGATTTATGTAGCTTTGAAATAACGTTTTTACGTGTCATTTTTTTTTTTTTTTTTTTTTTTTTTTTTTTTTNGCATTTGCCAGATTGTTGAAAGGATTTACCAGGACCCAGTTACACACTTGGGGAACGAGGTTCTCTACGAACAAAGCATTTCAAGCACCTACGACACCATTTGCTACTCTAACATGTGTTTGCAAGAGTTAATATAGGCCAATCTGCCTCGGGGTCAAAACGAGTCTCCCTGCAAGGCCTTTCATACGAGGACTTTTTTTGAAAAAGAGGCACAAGGTAATTCAGAAATGATCTATTGCATAACAATACGATCTATCGCAAGCACAGTACCTTTAAAAGCAAGTTCCATAACCTCGACAGCTAAGTTATCAGAGTCCTCAGTCTTCTTGGCACGAATGACATGACGGCCATCTGTTGCTACATCCTTGAGCTCAGTCACGTCACTCTCACTTCCCAGTGCGATGGCAATAACTTTAATACCCTGGTCTCTAAGTTCTTTTGCTTCAGCCTGTGCCATCTGCTCATTCCCGGTTGATTTCTTGTCTGTAAACACGACGAGAACTTTGCGCGCATTTGGACGAGCTCCTCCGGAAGCAAAAAGCTGTTCTCCCTGTGCGAGCCCCTTCTCTAGACTTGATCCACCAGCCGCAGGTGTCACTGATGAAAGATATTGCTTCAAGTCGTCTTCCTTGGCAAAAACTCGCTGGAAATCAAAGACTGTCTTGGCGTCGTTTCCATACACCACAACACCATACTTAATGCGGCTAATGCTGTACTGGTCAATGATGGAATTGATGACAGATTTCATTTTGGCAAAATTCTTGCTAGCGTCAGATGCCGAGGCACTCAGAGCGAAACCAAGATCCACCATAGGGACAAACTCCATAGCTAAAATTGACAACAAAACATTTCACACGTCAAGCAAAACAAGGGATACATAGTTAACGTGGCTACCACTTTGTTATGTCTGCCTTTTCATTCTCACGTTTAACCTGTACCCATACAATGAGCATAAGCCTATCCTTTTTGTTGAATGTAATATCGCGGTGTTACCATAGCATCGATAGGTGTTTAATGATGATGTTAAATTATAATATTTAGAGAGTAAGCCACATCAGCCTTAGCTGATTTTCATGCAGGTCCTCTATCCTGGTTGAATTGGAATTTGGAGATGTTGGCTTTTGTGGAGGGAGGAAAACCGGAAAACCCGGAGAAAAACCCTCGGAGCAAGGCGAGAGCCAACGACAAACGCAACCCACATATGGCACAGGGGCGGAATCGAACCCGGGCCACAACGGTAGGAGGCGAACGCTCTCACCACCAACTGTGTCATCCCTGCTCCCCAAAACAAGTTGTGTGAAATTAAACTTTACTTCAAGTCTGATTCAAAATCTTTTCAACACTTTTACTGTTCAGGAGGAAAGGTATTACTGACTAATGGTGAGACAGTGCTGAAAGCATATAGCCGGCACACATTAAACAACGTTGTTTCAATGCATTACAACATTGATTTAAAACAATGAAATCTCTTGACAAGACCTTTGATTTTTAGACAACCAAACACACAAAACATGAAACTTACGTTTAACGGCCTCTTTCATGATTCTATCACCAAGCTGCTTAGGGCTCTCTTCGGGATCTTCTTCAAGACTGTTATCTTTCATGGGTGATAGTGGACGCAATTCACTCTGATCCGACTCAGTTCCCATGGCAACCGTGATGACCTTGACACCCATGTCGTGTAGCTCGTCCGCTGTGGGTTGCATCTTAGCTTTGTCGCCAGTCGCTTTGCTGTCAGTCATTATCACCAATACGTTACGGCGTTTAGGAATGTCTCCACTAAACACCTCTTTTGCATTCTCAAGAGCAGCTGGTAAATCCGCTCCACCGCGTACTCGTTGAACCATTTTCACGAGATTCTTGAGTTGTTCATCGTTGCTAAAACTCTCGGTCAACTGGATTCGCGACACGGCCGTGCTTCCGTACACAGTCAGTCCGTACTTTATATTCCTCTGCCCGTAAGAATCAATGATTGAAGTGATGGTGTTGGTCATGCGGTCAAAGTTATCTTTCGCATCTTGCCCATTTGCGTTGATCGCAAACACAAGATTGAGTGGTTCTATTCCTGTAAAATTAGAAAACATTCGTTTGTGTAAAAAATGCAACGAAAAACATATATTACAGGAATAAAATGCCTCTTATAGTGTGACTCCTTATGGCGGCGCGGTGGCTCCATGGTTAGTGCGCTCGCTTCCGGATCAAGCGGTCCTGGTTCGAGTCATGGAGCCCGTTTCTCGAAGGTCCCGAAAAGTTTTCGCACTCGAAAGCCAGAGTAAGGTCTTAAACTTCATGATTTACAGAGCTGTTTTATTCACGTATCCTTAATATGACCAGAGGTTTCCTTCATACAAGAAGTTTCAGGCGTATATAGATACAGATTATAGATACAGATCTGTTAAGAGATACAGATTAACTAAAAATGGCTTCGCGTGCTCAAAACGTTTCCAGGGCGTTCGAGAAACGGGCCCCAGGTCGAGGACATTGTGTTGTGTTCCTGGGAAAGAAACTAAACTCTTACAGTGCCTCTCTCTTTACCCAGATGTAGAAATGGGTACCGGCGAATTTAATGCTGGGGGGTAACCCTGCGATAGACTGGCATCCAATCCAGGGGAAGTAGAAATACTCTTAGTCGCCTCATGCTACATAAACCGCAATAAGCGCCGGCCTGATGGGCCACTTGGCTCGTATGCAGACTTTACCTTACGGTCTGACTTCAATGCACTACAAAAAAAAAAGTTGTCCAACTTTACCTTGACATAAGTCCTTGGTAATTTTTTGTAAATTGCCTGCCAGCTGATCAAATGAACCTATCTTCATCACATTGTCAGAGTTTTCCATGGCAATACTTTTCAGCTCATTATCAGGAGCTCCTGGTCCGAGACCAACAGCCAACACTTGCACTCCTTTAGTCTGCAGGGTGAAAAGTCCATGTCAGAATACGCAATGGAAGTAACATAGATTTCGAGCGCAAGCAAGCCGGAAAGAGTTGACATTGCCTTAAATTTCTACTTTGTAAATTCCAGTTTCAGTTATTTGTTGCAAAACAACGACAATTTCTCTTCCAGTTCTGTCGTAAAAATGGGCACGAGAGAGCAGTCATGGATTTTCTAAATAACAGATAGACACTTTTCACTTAGTGTCGAAGGTAATCCAGACGTAATCCGGGATTGTTTTGGTTTTGCTTTACTACGCACTGTGATTGGTTTAAAAAAATCTCGCGCCGCCTGCTCGACCAATCGCATACAAAACGAAAACTAATCGCGACTGGTCACTCGCGTTTTCCCGCGCTTTTCGCCGTTTACATATATTTGCTGCGAACTCCTATTACACAAATTCGTTGCTTTGTCTTTGCTTCTGCTGATCGGCCATTGATAGTAATAACTTTTGTTTTGGTTTTACAACACACAAGTAAAAACCCGCTTTAAAATACTGAACTACTATTGCCAATTCTAAGCTGCTGTGTTATGAATATTTAGAAACGTCAATGATCCATTATGGAGAAACCCGGAAAAAATCGAAACGAGGCTCAGCACTTTACCTTCAGAGGCGCTAAAACTGTTGCATAAGGCATAGAACCTTCACTAGTACTTCCATCAGTGAGGACAATCAAAAACTTTGGCACACCCTTCCTTGCCCCACCCCTCTCAGTAAACAGTCTCTCGTTCGCCATTTTAATAGCTTTGTCTGTCCGCGTACGGCCTGGGTCGTATTTCATGTCCATAATCTTTTCTCTCAGAACCTCAGGGTTGTGCAAAGAGGTATCAGAGAAGTCGAAGTCCAGGATGGCGTCTTCATTGTAGTGAACGAAGCCAAAGTGAGTTCCGTCTTTAGACACATCAAAGTACTCTGTGAGCTTGGCGAGCGAGCGTTTGACAGTCTCGTAGTTCTTCCACCCAACACTCCGAGATGAATCCACAATTACACCAATGTCCATGGAGTGAACGCAGGCTAGAAAAAACACAAACTGGATAGTAACACCTCCCAACTCAAAAACGTTTTCCGATTGGAAGAGAACGTGTCATGGGTCAAACCTCACTAACTCCCTAGGGTGACCAAACTCACTAACTCCCTAAGGAAACAACAA